TGCGATAATAAGATACACCTTTCTTCTTCCCACGCCTATTTGTGGCGACCTGGTGCAACAGCAGTAATCCACGCCATCCTCGACAGTCTGCCCAGTGCCTGCCAATGATTTACTGCCGGCGATTAGCTGCCCAAAATGGCTGGCCCCCTTCGGTTTCTCGTAACGATGACCAGCATATGTGACATCATCGCAGGAGCTCTATAGGCGGATAGCCGATGCATAGGACGCCCCTCGGCCTTAGGGGATTTTTAACGCCTCCTCAGATGAGATACATTTATATTCTGGAGCCGGGGCTGCTTGCGGTATTACATCCACAGAGACCGCTATAGTAAGTGATAGAATTTCAATGACAGTACAAATGATGAATCATACTTAGTATAAATGGGCGGCTGATTTCGCGGACTTTATGACAAATCGCCCTCTGCATCAGGTCTATGCAACATCGTCATTGTATAGTCAGAAAGTATCATATATGAAGGGTAGTACATAGATATAAAGAAAACATTATATATATACATATTTTATGGTACCTGTTCATCTCAAGACTGGTCCTATTTAGAAAAAGATATTTATATTAGGGCCGGGACTTTAACGCGTTAATTAAGATTAATTAATTACACAAAAATTAACGCGTTAAAAATTAACGCATTTTAATCGCACTTATTTTTGCACCGCGGAACGTTTCTCACTGGATGAGTTTCAGGGGTACCGATTATACTGGAGCACCAACTAACGTTCATGACTTCAGACAACAACAAACCACAGTGAACAATAGTCAAACGTGAACGAACAAGCTGATGAGACCGCTTTGGTTGGCCCCGTGGATGGGACATTTTGTTTTAAAAAACGGACGGATGGAAGCATCGATAAGAGCACGGTTGTTTGCAAATTATGCAAAAAGGAATTTGCGTATCACCGCAGCACATCAAGCCTCAAGTATCACCTCAATGCAAAACATATAGCAAGCTAGCGTGGAAGCTAGCGTGGACGTTAGCCCGACTCGGAGTACAAGGACCCACACCCAATTCGCGTTGATCAAACAGTGGCCTATGCAACAGAGAGATTTTATTTTTCATCAGGATATTGGAAGAATAGGAGGGATTGAGGTCAATCACTGGCACTTTTTTATTTTATTTTAAATGGTACAGTACACTTTATGTTGAACTATTTATTATGTTGTTGGTGCAACTGGCACTTTATGTTGAACTGTTTATTGTTTTGGCCAAGGTTATTGAGAGAGTTGGACTGAAATTGATTAGATTTTTTAAATCAACTGTTGGTAAATCAACAAAGTCTGTTATGGCCTCTGAAGCAACAGAGAGATGTTTTCTAATAGTCAGGGTTTCCAATGTTCTGAATGTAGTTGAAAGTATTGTGTTATACTTAAAAAACAAAGTGTTATAGTTTACAGAAGGTCTACCTACCTGAATCTCTGAAATGTACTATATTCCTAAATATGCTATTGCTACACTTTATGGCAAAAATTGCACTTTTCTGTTGGTCTTGGTTAAGTACCACCTTGAAAAAAATAAACAATGTTTTGTTGCTTAAGCTTATGTATTTAGTCATTATTCAATGGTATACTAAAATCCATGTGAAAAAAATTGCTTCTCACTGTTCTCAGGTCAAATATTTATATGTGATTAAAAATGCGATTAATTTCGATTAATTAATTACAAAGCCTCTAATTAATTATATTAATTTTTTTAATCGAGTCCCGGCCCTACTTTTAACATGTTCATTGATATCATGTGTATAAATTCTTCTGCACTCACAATGCATTTTGATCACTAACGTTTCAACAGTACTGTGAGTAGAGATGAGTGTGTTGGGTTACCTTGAGGTCTGGAGGCAGCTTGTGAGAGGTAAACACACTAAGTTTGACCTGGGGGAGGCTGATCTTCAGGTTCTCAAAGTAGTAGCGTTTGGGAGGTCCTGATTCCTCGTTGGGCTTCTCATAGATGTTTTCATCAAATGTTTCCAGCTCTGCATTCATTACAGCAACATAACATAATTACAACAAAATTACTATGTTACTAACAGCATGAAACACATCTTAAGAAGATGAACTAATGACCCACCAGCCTCAGTCCGTCCGTATCCAAAGAAGCTGAGCAGCTTGAGCAGCAGCTTCTCCTCAATGATGACGGTGAAGCGGCGGGCGGTCACCATGAGGTGCTGTGAACACATCACGCTTACATCATCAGTCACCTGATTCTATCTACTGCTCACTGGCACACTACACATGTAAAAAAAAAACAGCGATCACCTGCTGAGGATCTGAAACAAGTCTAACTTCCTGTAGCACACTAACACAGCAGTAAAGGAGTGTGGCCCTCACCTTGAACAGGTACGTGAGCATGAGGCTGCTGGGAACCTTCACAGAGTTGACCTGCAGGGCAGGGCCGCTGTCGCTCACACTGCTGTCACTGCAGCTGGGCGTCACACACAGCATCACAGGCTGTGTGCTGCCCAGCAGCTGGTTGTCCACCTGAAGAGCACAACACACACACAGACTGTTCACACAACACTCACCACAGGCTGACATGCATCTTATGGTTTTTCGCTTAAATAAAGATTCCTCCTGCTGACTTGCATCTGATAGTTGTTGTTTTAAAGAGTTTTGCTGTATCTGAAGTATGGTACAGGAGGAGAAAAGTTACGTACTGTAAGACAGGTACATTCCTCAGACTTTTTCTTTATATAAATGGTTTGGCATTGACAGCAGGAGGTGTATGTCTGTGTTTGGACATATGTTATTTTTTCCATGGTGGAGCATTAGTGAGAGGTTTATGTTTTTGTAGGGATAACATTTGTATATTGTGCTGTTAGATGATGATGGTGATGGTGAACACTTTTTGGTAGTTAATGGTGGTGGAGCTGCTGTTGAACAGAGAGGACTTCTGTTTACATCTGTTTCAGGACTGGCTGCACCTGTAAATGCTTTTGTATGAAATGTTGTTATACAAATAGATTTCAGCATGAACATGTGGATAAATGTCCCAACAGTTGTGGGGCGGGCTCACCTGGATGTTCTGAATGCTGAGCTCCAACACCTCGTTAGCTGCAGTGCGGGTGAAGTGGACATCTATCCCGGACAGCGTGGTGAACACCAGCTCCTCTGGGACCTTGTTGACCAGAGATACCCCTACACCCTCCTCCAGGTTCACCAACACCTGAGAATGGAGAGCAATAAGAGGGCTACCTGATACCTCACACACAGTCTGCGCTGATCATAACAAGATCTACAGGCCCGGACTGGCCATCGGGAGAACCGGGAGGTTTCCCGATGGCCTGGCCCGATTTCTTTTTATGTATTGTGAACGCAACGCTGCACAAATGTGGGTCTGCCTCACACAGGGGGACTGGCTGTCTACATGGCCACTGTCATACAGATCGTACTTCAAAGCCCTCGATTGGTCTCTGTGTGTCATTCAAACTCGGGAGGGAGGGTGTGTGTATGTGTAGCGCGAGCGAGCGAGACAGAGAGAGAGAGCGTGCACCGGTAAGCCTACTTGTATTGTTGTTGTTAGCATCTGGTGCTAGCTAGCTGCTCTAACGGATATAAGGAGCTGTTTCAACAACAAGGTGGAGGGAGAGTCCTCTGCTGTCAGACTGAGAGGCTCTGATAACGTCAGCTCGGGTGAGATAAAGGACTCTGAGTGTTTAGATAGTTAACTTTAGTCCAAGTTATCTCAGTGTGTCCAGTGGCGGTTCTAGACCATTTTTACTGGGGGGGCCAGGCTGGGGCCAGTTATTTCATGAGAGGGGCACAATAAAAAGCGGGTTAAATAGACGAAGACAGTATAAAGTAATTGTGTAAAATAAACATAAAATACAGTAATTGGTGTTTTTTTATTTTATTTAGATTATTTGTTTTAGTAACTTTAAGTGACAATTTACTTTCCCTCACTCTCGTCTCTTCCTCGCGTCTTAGCTCCGCCTCCGTAAGACGCGAGCGAGAGACACGAGGAAGAGACGCGAGGACAGAGGAGTCCTCGGATATTAATTGGGATGTCCTCGTTCACTCCAGCGTCACCATAAACAACGCCCTTTACTTCTGGTGCGCGCAGTGCATCACCTGTCACTGGATTTCCCTCCACATCAATCCCCTCAAACCTGGGATTTAGTTTCTCATTGAAATGATTTCATCTCTTCCATCCATTTATTTTATTATAGTTTTCAACGTATTATTTTCGGTCCTGTATTGGTTTTTCCAGGTATAACATTTAATTTAAGTTATAATTATAATCATAACAATAATAATAATTGATTGTTTCAGATCAACTTTTGAATTGGATGTTGTTATTTAATTTGTCCTACAAAAGAGAGACACAAATCACTAACATATTTTTAAGTTATGCTACCCGTATTTTTATATCCTAAATGTTTGACGTTCTGTGGATTTTACACACAAGTAAGAACTGTAAGTTATTATTTTATAATCAAATTATTATTATTGAATTTGTAAGTATATTTCACATAATTTCATTTTTTTATAGAGTATGATCTCTTCATTCATTTAAGAGATTTATATATTTTACTCTTATTGAAGCACTTTAATGACTCTGATCTTGCTGGCTGTGCAGCTGGGGGCGGAGCTTTGATTCAGAACAGCTACAGTGAGCAGAGGCTGTGCAGCTGGGGGCGGAGCTTTGATTCAGAACAGGTGCAGTGAGCAGAGGCTGTGCAGCTGGGGGCGGAGCTTTGATTCAGAACAGCTACAGTGAGCAGACGGCTGTGCAGCTGGGGGCGGAGCTTCGATTCAGAACAGCTGCAGTGAGCAGAGGCTGTGCAGCTGGGGGCGGAGCTTTGATTCAGAACAGGTGCAGTGAGCAGAGGCTGTGCAGCTGGGGGCGGAGCTTTGATTCAGAACAGCTGCAGTGAGCAGAGGATGTGCAGCTGGGGGCGGAGCTTTGATGCGCGAGTAGTGAAAACACTTCCGCGTAGTATACCCTGGTGTATCCTCACTCTCGTCTCTAGTAGTAAATTTAAAGTATAGGGCTATCACTATGGGCAGCAACGCTGTAAATATTGACAAATAAATCCAGCAAAATGGCACAAAAAAACAAACTGGTAGTGGCCTGGCTGGGTGTATAATTCCCGGCCTGTCCCAGTCCGGCCCTGTCTACACATGATAAGAAATGTGGTGATGATGTCGGGGACAAACAGTGGTCAGCGTTACCTCCAGCTCCTGCTCAGGCTTCTTCTTCTTCACCTCCCCCTTCCCCCGGTCCTGCTCTGTACTGGGGGAGCTGCGGATCATTCTCCTCTGGTTAAAGTCACTGATCTACAAACAGACACACAAACTGAAGTGAAGAGGTCCAAACCACTGGAAATAAAATTTAGATGTTAACAAAGCATCTTTAGCTGAGGAAGATAAAAACTGTGATATATAGAAGCAGGGGTAAGCAATACATTCTTCTACAATCAGTTAACAGCATTACACTAATTAGCGTTCGCTACGTGCTGAATATGACACAGCACTCATTGACAGTAACAAAGAAAACGGATGTTTTAGTGAACTTCATTAGTGAAACCCAGTGACCGGCTAGTATAGTGCAGTGGTTCCCAAAAGTATTCTTCAGGGCCCCCACCCAACACACGTTCTTTAGCTTCCAAACTCCACTGGAATTTATTTTAAACATTCCAATTCAGAAAATTGCAACTTCTTATTTACAAAACAAAATGAATAATAAAGTGACAAATCACCTTCACATTGGAGTTATTAAAAGTCTAACTGTAATACTTAGGGTTGGGATTGTTTGGAATTTTTATTTTTTTTTCTCACTTTCTCACTAAAAACATTACAACAACAGCTGTGCACGTACATAACAACCCAGACAAAATAAACAATGCAATACAGCTATAGATACAAATACAGACACAATGTAAAATAAAATAAGAAAACCATTTGTCAGAACAGTTCCTCTTACTCAATCAGTCATTATTCCTTGTCGCTGGTTTGAATCTTTAACATTGACCATTTCTCCCATTTCTCTTCATATTGTGTTTCTTGCAGTCTCAGTCGATATGTCATTTTTTCCATTAAATGAATTTCCTCCACAATCTTAATCCACTGTTCTACAGTAGGAGGCTCCCCCTTGCACCATTTCCTAGTTATGGCTTTCTTGCCAGCTATCAACAGTATTTTTACAAGATATCTATCTATGTAGTGAACATTTCCCTCTGTAAAATTGCCGAGATAGAGTACCATGTAGTCCAGGCATCCTCAAAGTCCGGACTCCGGTCCGGATCCGGACCGAACCACAACTGTCTCTGGACTCTGAGCAAATTATATTTTTCATATGCAAGACATCGCCACAACGCAACGAGTCAAAATGTTCCGCTATGTCCAACAACAAACAGCGCTCTGCATGTCCGACTGTTCCACTGTATGTGTGTGTCTGTCAACGCATTGGTCCAATCACATTCAGCATCCCGTCAGCGTTTTTTCCCCCACCAACAGTCTGCGAATCAGAGGCACAGTAGGGCGGGTCTTCGCGGAATGCGGGTGGGAAAAATGCGTGTGTTTAAAAAAAAGAAGTCAGAGCGAGAGTTAACAGCTCATCTAGTTGCATCTGTACTNCAGAAAAACGACAAGGCCAGTTGAGAGTGAAAAAGCAAACAAGAGGGTTTTCTTGGAGGAAGATTAAAAGCATGGATGGCTCGTGATAAAACCTTGAACAAGAGGAAGGAAATAAAGGAAAGAATGGAGCCCTTGATTGGTAATCCCCCCATCTTGAGTAACAACTCAGTGATCCCTGCTGCTAGTCTTTATTTCACTGGACGCAGTGCAGTGCTAGTTGTTGTCTCCCTTGTGGTTAGCCTCTCTCACTTTTATAAGTTGTCGTTTATATAAGCCATTACTAGCATGGCTCAGGACATCTTTGAGTCCAGTGAAAAACCCTGCAGATTGATGTGCTCCTGAGGCGGTCCTCACTGTGTCTTCTGCCTCCCAGGGACCGTTTGAAGATGGCTTTCTGATTCCAGGCGATTAACAACGGTGGAGGCAGGCCAATCCAGCTCTGAATCGACCTTTCACAAACTAACAGAAAAAACATGGGGGGCAGCCAGCAACTTCCAGTGTTCCTCTCAAAGTCCGCACCAATGCTAACCTTAACCCGAACATTCCTCCCCAGAGACTGATTTGACGGCCCTCTGCTAGTTTGATGCCTTTCTGCTGCTTAAAGATGCACTTCGCCTGTGCCCACTTATGGATGTCCTCCTCGATTTCTTACTCCCTTTCGAGCCCGCCCCTATTGCTTCAGGGCACATCGGTAAATTGGGTTTTTTGTTCTAAGATCATTCGACTTTTCTTATTTCTTTAGTTTGTGTGAAGTCAGTGGGGAACTTATTCCTGACTCTTATTCCACCATGTCCGTCTAGTATTTCCGTGTTTGTGCCGAAAGGCTCTTCCATAGCGGTTACAGTGTTTGTGTGTGTTGTGTGTCGTGTGTTGTGTGTGTTTTGTGTTCTGTGTGGTGTGCATGGCTGTTTCTGTGTGGGTGTGCATGGTGCTTTCTGCTGTTGGTGGTGCTGCATTGGTGGTTTCTGGCTGTGTGCTGTGTGCATGGTGTTTCTGTGTGGGCCATGGGGTTGTATCTGTGTGTGGTGGGTGTGTGCATTGCGTGCCATTCGTTGAGTGTGTGTGTTGTGTGTGTGTGTGCATGCGTGTTTCTGTGGTTGTGGGTGGCATGGCTTGTTTCTGTGGCTGGTGATGTATCGCTAATGGTGTTTCCTGGTGTGGTGTGCATGGTGTTTTGTGTGTGTGTACTTTGCTGATTTCTGTGCTGGGAGGAGCCCTCCTTGTGGTTGATCCGATGATATGGGGTTTAGCTGTCATTGCCGTGGTGGGGGTGTGCCTTTCCAGTGTTCCCCCCTGATGTGCGGCAGAGAGTTCGTTGCTTGTGTGTGCGCATGGTGTTGGCGGATGTGTAAGTGAGACGATGGTGCTCTTCGCGATGTATGGTCATAGGATGTGAGTCGTTCTGCGCGCGCTCGGTGTGTGTGTGTGTATGGTGGTCTCTTCTTGGACTGGTATGTGTTCAACCGCTCTCTCCATTTTCTCTCTACGCAGGCTAGAGCAGATTCTCGCTGATTAACGAAGCTCGATTGCTGGAAAAAAGACAGTCTCGCATAAGTGAGAGCACAGGTGAGATGGCGCACCAGTATAGGGAAAGGATCCCAAGGGAGAAGAGGACGAACACTCCCGCCGAGACTAGAAAGAGAGCCGCTCCGAGAATGAGGAAGGGCGATTCAGAGGAGAAGCGAGACGACGTACGCACAAACGAGAGAAAACAAAGACCCCCGAAAGAGAGAGCGGACCTTACACGAACTCCATATAAAGGCGTCAATGTAGAGCATAACGCCTACAGAGTGACATAGGCCCTTGGAAGCAGGAAGCAGAGTGCCGTTAGGAAAAAACCGCTCTCCTTGTTAATTCGCTCACAGCTCGGGTAGAAAAGCTAGACCTGACTTCATCAACACGCTTTTCCTGCTGGGGGACGGTCAGCCGCGTCCTGGGTCTCCCTGATTGGAGGGATTTAAAAGGAGCAGTTCATTCTTCTCTGGTCTTCGTAACGGGACGTCTTGGCTTCTCCTCCTCGCTTCCAAGGATCTCTGTGTATCTGTTTATTGTTTGGGTTTTTTGTATGTGTTTATTCTCTTCGCTTCTAGCGTCATGCTAATACAAAGAGCATATTCTCTTGTGTGCTCGGTCAATACCTTCTGCCGTTCTCTCTCTCTTCTTCGTCTGCTCTTCTCGTGAAGCCCTCTCCGTCGTCACCTCCCTCCTTCGAGTCTCGTTGATGTCTCCTTCTCTCCTTTTGTGGAGTTTTCCCCTAATCTGTCTCCTCTCACCGCCTTTCATCATTACAACACTTTTTTACAACATCAGCTTTTAATCACAAAGAAAAGTCGCAGCAAATTAGAGAGGAGGAAAGGAAAACGGAGTGAGAACAACACAGGAGCAAAAAGAAAAAAAGAGCGATGCGGGCTACCCAATTTAAACAACACCACACACACCAAGAAACACACCACAACACCACAAGAAACACGCAAAAAACAACTCATGCACAACCAAAACAAACCAGCAAAACACCTGCACACACACACAAGCAAACACCATGCACAACACACACACCGACAACAGTGAACCACACACATACAGAAAACCCATACACAACACACACACAGAAAAAACGCCATTACACCCACACCAAAACACCATGCACACACAACAGAAAAACACCATGGCAAAAACACACGAAAAAAACACAACACCAAGAAAAGCGGACACCATGCACACACACCAAGAAAAACCTGCACCACACACCAGCACACACACACACAGAAAGCACCATGCACACACACACACACACAAAACCCCATGCAAAACACACACAAGAAAAACGAACATGCACATCACAACACACACAGAAACCAACCATGCACACACAATCAACACAGACAACACCCCATGCCACCAACACACAGAAACACCATGCACACACAAACAAGAAAACAACATGCACACCACCACAGAAACACCATGCAAACACACACAAGAAACCACCATTGCCACATACACAGAAAAAACAGACCATGCACACAAAACACCAAACACAACCACAAGGAAAAACACCATGGCACACAACACAGAAACACCGCATGCGACACACACCAGCACAGGTATTACACACACAAGAAACCCATAGCGCGACGCCACGAGCACAACAGAAACACCATTGCCGACGCACAAACACACAAACACACACACAACACCCCAACAACAACACAACATTACCAACACACAGAAACCCTAAATACGCACCACACCAGAAAAAAAACAAACATTCACACACACACAACCAACACACAACACAACACAGCACGAACCCCATTACACATTACGCAAACACACACAGAAAAACCACCATGGCACACACACAAGCAAACATATACAACACACAGAAACCCCATACACATGACGCAAAAAACACAAAGAAAAAACACCATGGCCACACCACACATTATACACACAAACAACAGAAAACAACCATGCAACTGGTCTTGTTGAAGCAGCGTTTAAAAACTCAGGGTGAGTTGTATGTGTTTTATTTTGTTCTTTCCTCTGCTCCAGTCAAACATGACCTGGTGTGGCTTCCGCCGCCTCCCCAGGTGCTCAACACCTGATTAGTGTATAAGAGGAGGACTGGAGGAGCAGGCAAGCACGCTTTTCTTTGTTATGCTCCACTTCTTCTGGCTCGAGTCTTTTAGTATTGCCAGTACGCTGGTAAGTCTCTTTTTTGAGGTTTCATTCTTTATTTTAAGTTCAGGAGGAGTTCTGGGGTCCTTTCGGCCAGTTTCCTCGCCAGACGGCGTCCCCTGTTTAAGTTAGAGTGCTTTAAGAAGTGTTCAAAAAGAAAATCATGTTGTGGGTTGTGTAAACCGCAGGCAGTCCTCCAAAGTCCGGACTCGCGTCCGGATCCGGACCGACGCCGAAAACCAAACTAGTCTCTGACCTCTGAAAGGCAAATTTATACCTTTTCATTATTGTGTTAATTCTGCGACGAGCCATCTGCCCATGCAAACGGGCAAACGAGTCCTAAAGTTGTTGTCCGCTATTGTCCATCTATTCAAAACAGCGCTCTGGGGCATGTCCGACTGTTCCACTGGGTATGTGTGTGTCTGTCAAAACGCATTGGTCCATTCACATTCAGCATCCCTGAGAGTCAGCCGTCTTTTTCCCCCAGCCAAAAAACAGTCTGCGAAGATCAGAGGCACAGTAGGCGGTCTGTCGCGGTAATAGCTTGGGTGGGAAAAAACCGATGCGTGTCGTTTAAAAAAAAAAAGAAGTTCGAGGCCAGACGAGTTAACAGGCTCCATCTACATAGTTGCAGATCCCCCCTCTCACTTTAGTGTGTTTATGTTAGCCTGTTTCAACCGCTACTGGGGTCGGCCTGGTGGGTCGGCCACAACTGCATAATCCTGAAAAACACAAATAGGCCTTGCCACCCCACTGGCAGCTTTGGCTTTGAAAGAACAGTGTTTCGTCGCGCCCTCACTCGCGCGATCCATTTATGAGAGAACAGGTCTCCTAATGTCCGGAGTGCAACAGTGAATGCAAAGCAACGCAAGGTAGACGGCGTGTGTAGCCCTTGCTTACGCCGTCCCCCCGGATCCTGTGGCTGCCAGACAGCTATTGCGAACAAATCTCATGAGTGGCCGGTCGGAATGTTCATGTGAGACGAAGAGGTATGCGCAAAACACGACGAAGCATCTCGGTTCAATCCTCCACAATCATTCCAACAGTAAACCTTGAAGGAGGATGACATGGTGTATTGTGATTTGTGGTCCGTTACATGATGACATAGAAGAGACTGTCAGTGTGAGCTGCTACTCTGATTGAAATTCAAAACGGCCACTTTTAAAGCTTTGGATCTTCAAATTTTTAACCGTTTGTGAGCCGTTTTGCTGAAACAAAATGGGTAATCGCCGGGCCATTCAGCTGTAATCAGACTTGGACAATGTCAAAAACCTCGGGGATGCTGTCCTGCTCACGGATGAGGGCATACCCCAAAGAACGTGTTTAAACGCATTCGAGTGGACCTTATGTGGTGTACATTTTTTTCTTTGTGTGGGGGTCTGCCCCAAAAAAAAACTGGTTTTAACAAAGAGGCCTGAAGAAAGAGTACAAATTAAGGACACGGTGATGTAAAAAAACTACAAACTTCCCACAGAAAGTAACACTTTGATTGGGAACTTAGGCCCCAGTAGGTAAGACTTTTTCCCATGGATAAGTAACTGGAAGTAATAAAAGGGAATGCAGATTGAACTTAAAGGGTTGATGGGGAGGGGGACCCATTGGCTTTTGGAAGGCAAAACCGCAAAAAGAGGGCACATTAAACAGGGGGTTTCCAAAAGCAAATTCTTCCCTTCTCCAGATTCCCACAAGCCGCAAACAGGAAGACCATGAAAAAATACTGGCTGGGGATGAGTTATCAAGCTTTTGTGATGGGCACCCCCCAAAATGCAAAGCAGTGGCATTTTTTCCCCTTAGTGTGGGATGACGTGGGCCCAACTGGACCACCACTGCGGACCATGCCTCAGTTGCTTCGGGTGTTTGTTGAGTTTTTTATGATGAGGCAAAGGGGGAGTTTGTTGAAGATGTGTTGGGCCTGACGAACCTCAGTGGACACACAAGGGGGCAAGACATTTATAAAGCAATAATGGTAATGCTGAATGAAAGAGGGTGCAGCTGCCTTTATTCATAACTGCAGCTGCACTGCGACCCTGAGGGATCAAGCACAGACACAATAACAATGAAAACTGCTGCATACAGATTATTTTTGTTTTTGCAACCTCGTGTGAATGACCGTAATAAACGGACCTTTGTCTTATTGAAAAGAAAATGTTGGACCTTTAAGATTTGTATTTGAGTACCCCTGATGTAGTCCATAGGAACCTCATATCTCAGTATCTTTTGCAAAACCTTGTGTACCGATTCTCAGAACTTAAGTATGTTTTGGCATTTCCAAAATATGTGTCAATGGTTGGCCTCTGATCCTCCACATTCCCTCCAGCACAGACGATTTGTATTTAAGTATTTACTCTGAATCTTAGGTGTGATAAAAAATCTGTATTCCCTCCATATCCGTGAATTGGTGGATGATCGATGTATCTTCCACATGTTTTGCCAATCATCATCTGAAATGGTTGTGTTCAATTCTGTTTCCCATTTCCCTTTTATGTATTTAGTTGAATGTTTATTTGAGGACAATACTTTGTATAGAGCAGTTATGATTCAGATTTTGGTTTCTTTGTAGAGGTGGTACCAAAAAAAGTACCAATTTCGATTGGCTGGGCGAATTACAAACCACGCCCCGTAAAACTCTGAAAAGGTTTTTGAAGCCGCCATTGTATTTGCTGGCATTAGCATTATTAGCATTAGCATTAGCCCCACGCGCCAACGGAGAGAGAATAACTTATGGCGATTTACTCGGAAGGCTTCAGTAGAAGCCAGTCCCCAACTTAGTGCCGGCACTAAGTACGGCAAAGTACTTGGTGTGAAAGCGGCTATTGGCCCTTAAATAATCAACACAAGAGTGGAGGAAAAAGGTCAGCTAGTTGAATTTATGAATAACTTGTGATTGACCAAGGGATTAGCCAAAATAAAACATCCTGACCTGTAGGACACGTGTTGGTCCATCTGGCAGCACCTGGACTGACAGCACACCAGACCCTGGCCTCATCTTCTGGTTGATGAACTGCTGCTCGGGGCCAGGAGCCTGCAGCCCTGAGTCTGGTCCCAGCACCACCTCTGCTCCATCATACAAACCTGACAGCCCACCCTTCACCTGAAGAACAAATCAAACATCAACTAAAATCACAGACATCATTCTCAGGACTCTGAACCTCCCAGTGCAAAGAGGAGAGCAATTCATAAACTCAGAATGAGTTATTCTGATTTTGAGGGACTCTTCAGTGATTCATGCCTTTACTGGGAACTAAGTACTTATTAAAGCTATCATTGCAGTACAGTGAAGGTGCTTTACAATGAGTTAGAGAAGTAACATACTTCAGGAATTTTCATATGTTCACAACGTAATAAATGTAGCAGTGAGCCCAATCATTTTGTGGGACTGCATTGCTTTGTGGGAAAGTGTGCCCCTGGTGTTTTACCCGTGAATCAAAGAGTGGCTCAGTCTGGAGGGACTTGGCCTTGGAACCCAAGGCTCGCTTGTTCACGTCCCGATCGGACAACAAAAAACGAGCGTGGACTGATAGCTGGAGAGGTGCCAGTTCACCTCCTAAGCAACTGCAAAACCCCAACTGCTACCTGGCGCTGGACCGACTGGCTGCCTCTTCACTCGGTGCTCCTCTCCAGATGCATGTGTGCACCTATATACCTGTGTGTATTTGTAATGTGTGTGTATTAAAAAAAACAGCATGTGTGTATTTGTACTCCGTGTATAAAACAGAGTGGAAAACTGAATTTCACCATAGGGGGTTTAATGAAGTTTAATCTTCAGGGTTCTTACACCTTTTCCAGAGTTAAATTCAAGCACTTTTCAAGCATTTTCAAGGTGCATTTTCAAGCTTTTCAAGCAGCGTACAGCTGTTGTAAATTACATATTTATATGCACATACTTATACTCAAATGATTATTTCCCTACCTCACATTAAATCAGATGTTCTTTATGCTATAAACAACCAAATGTGTGTTTCGTAATAGCATTCTACATGAGGATGAAAAATTAAAGATAAGAAAACAAAGTTTAATATTGTAAAATGAGTGATCCATATCATATATAGTAGACTGGGCATCCCATATAACCTGCCTGAGCCAATATAAAACAATCAGCCAACTAACTTTTCAATAAATTCTTTATTAACATTTTTTTAAATGTTTGAGGTCCTTTTAGGGTGGCAGTAAACATACGGCTCTCCAAGGTTAGGACAAAACCATTGAAACACAAAGCTGATATAAAAAAAAGCGTGTGCAGAGATCCTCTTTCCTTGTAAGAGTTTTGGAGGTTTCCAGGGAATGTTTTTCAGAATATGAAACTTTTATTGCCAAAATCTCTTGATAAATACATGTTTGAAGCTTGTAAAGGGAAGATGACAGCTCTCCCTCGCACTAATGCTTTTACGTAGCGATGCTCCCCCCTCCCTCCCGCTGACATTATGAATGTATGGCGTATAGTAGGGGTTTCACCAACTAATCGACTAGTCGACTACCTTTACCACTAGTCGGCGCTGTAGGCCCTAGTCGACTAGTCGTGAAAAAAATGGAGGTAAACGAGGTGCTGCAAAATGCTACAAAACACGTCCGACATTCTTATGTATGGCAGTACTTCAACGAAGATGTAACCAACTCCACAGTGAAGTGTCAGTTGTGGACAGCTGTACTGAAGTACAATACAAATGCATCTGCTATGCGCAACCATCTAAAGATGAAACACCCGCTGCCGACAGCTAGCACTAGCAGTAATGCTAGCACCAGTGAGCAACGGACCGGCGTCAGCACTGTACAGAGGCAAACGACAGCAAGAAAACACGGGTCAACAGTGATGCGGATGATGAGCTACGGGATTACTGCCAGCGGACACCGCATATCCCCACAATGGATAATCCACTGGAGTGGTGGGCAGAAAACGTGCACCGCTTCCCCCGCTTTCGAGGAGCTACCTGGCTATTCCACCCACAAGCACCCCGAGTGAGAGGGTTTTTTCCCTGGCAGGCAACACTGTCACCCGAAAGCGGTCAAGCCTCCTTCCCTCACATGTCGATGTGTTGGTGTTCAAACCAAAAATATGGAAAGGTGGACGTTATCGTGGAGGACAGCGAATAAAGTGTTGCGCAATGCGCTGTTGCGCACTGGATTTACGTGGCATTTATGTAAACAAGAGTTTTTTGCTGTCGATTTTGGTGAGTCCAGTGTTTGTTATTTACTCAGCCATGTAACACAAATTAAAATGCAGTGTTTAATGTTACTGTATGAGTTCCATTAGAAAATACAGTTGTAAACCTCTCTTTGTGTGTCTTTATTATGACGTAACGACTAGTCGACTAGTCGACGAAGATGGATGTGTCTTTAAAGCAGAGATTGATTGTGGATATCAGAGTTATGGCGCCATTCATCACGGCCGATATTATTCAGACGAGCGGGATTGAACAAGGAGGTGGGACTCCTGAGCCCATGGGTGGGTTCTGATTTGGGGGGGGGGCTTTAATAGATTGTAGATGAGAGTGTGTGTCACTTTGTGTGGAATGAATGCATGTACGCTCATGTGTTTGCTTTATACCTTCATAAGGCGGCGTCACTTGGGAATGTATTCGTGTGTGTGTGTGTGTGTGTGTGTGTGTGTGTGTGTGTGTGTGTGTGTGTGTGTGTGTGTGTGTGTGTGTGTGTTTGGAGCTGTCTGCATTGATCTCCAGTGATGTGATCCTGCTTCAGAGCCCGTTCTCATCGGACTCTGATTTACGGCTTCATTAGGACCCATTCTTTTTGTCTCCTTGCTTTTGCCAGGTCACTCTCCGACACACACTCAGACAACACACACTCTGTGGAGAAACACCCAAAGGACTTTTCATCCCCATACACGTTGTATAGCTTGTTTCTGTTCTGTTTGTCATCTTTATGAATAATCTCTTATTATTATTCATCAAGGCCCAGCACCTCATTGTGTGCCCCGAGAGTTGAAGTGCCATGGCGGTTTTTCCGAGGTGCTTCCCTACCCCCAGGCAGCCCCACTCGGCTGAAAAGAACCCTCATTGTGTGTGTCTTCTTTTATGGCGCTGTCTGAAAGAGAGGGATGCACTCCAGTCTGCATTCAAATGCACGTGGTAAAGCAGCCAGCAGAGCAGGACAAACACCACAGGTTGTAAACGCTTTGAAAAGCAGAGTGTGTAAGAGTGTGTGTGTGAGGATTTGTAAATGTGAATGTGAAGTGAGTGTGTGCTGACTGAATGGTTTTCACTCTCTTTACCTCCACTTTTTCCCTCCCAATACACTCACTTTACTCCCTGTTTTTTTTTCTCTTCCTACCTGTCTTTGCCTGAAATGACTTTCTTCTTCCTCCAAGAAAAGAACCTCAAAGTTTTTTTTTTTCTCGTGTTTTATAAACCCCCACCCACCGTCACCACCGCCATTATCAGGAGTCAAGTCATGCAGAAATGTAAAAAAATAAGAAGGTAATCACACTTTGTGCTGGTGCTTTTGTCGTGAGCCCGTGATGGAAATGGGTCTAAATATGAGATTAGAACCTGCCGCTGACTGATGCTATTAGGCAGATATGCCATAGACTTTACTATCTCCCATGAAGGATTAGCGCAAATTATACTGGGAGACAGGCTTGATTTCTCCTCTGCCTTACTGGATGTGGGCATTTGAGGCACTCTAAGTTGACAGTGTCTGTCTCCGCTTAGTTCTCAGAGACAGGTTGTGTGACAGCTGATGCCAGGCGAGGGCTTAAAAAGTGTGCGTGTGTGGGTGTCTGTTTGTGTGTTGGACACCGTTTTGGTCTGTGTGTGCGAGCGCAAGTTTGTCGCCGTGTGTGTGAGTAGGAGAGTTATAAACTGACAGGCGAGTGTGTTTGAATGTGATTGCACGTCAATGACGGTTTTTTTTCCTTCAGAAAACAGGTTCTCTTTGAGTAGGGTGACAATTGGGAAAGGCTAATTTTAAGCTCGGTGGCTTCCTCTTTAATTCTACACACTCTTATCTGGCTTTAGTTGAAATAATTAAACTGTCTGTATGACTGTCCAGGTGAAGCTGTTTATCCAGCTGTGAATAAGAAAGGAAAGCTGGGCAGGCGTCTGACCATGTGCCAGCTGTTTGAATCCATTTGGAGGAAATTCTGATAAAAACGAAACCGATATAAAAGCACACCTGAATTTCTGGTTGTTTTGGAACCCTAATTTTGAAACAGAAAGGTCCGTTATTGCATCCATAATGCATAGTCATCTCAAATTGTTTTAAACTCTGATTTTGACGGCGGTAGGTGGCTGAGCGCTTTGCTCACCTCTCAGGAATGTTTGAGGGAACATGCAGATGCTCCCTGTTTTAGCCCCGCTGTCTCCCCTCGGCTCTCTGATTTAGGAGGGTGACATGTCCTTTAATGTTGGGTAATAAACTGGAGGGGTGGATTTACAGGCTCAAGCCTTGTTTCATTCTCCTATGACGACAGTGCAAGCTCCACCTTCAGTGCAGTTAAGGCTTCAGGAGAGCCGTTGGTTACCACCTCAGGCCTCATGTGCCATATGTCGCACAGAAATTCAAACAAGAAAAAAGTTGGGTGTCAGTTTGAATTGTATATCACTAAGCCAACTTTGGCCAGCTCTAGTCATTTTGTGTTAAACCTACCATGAATAATAGTTTCAAAGGATATTCTTGCCTGTTTGGCGTTATTTAAATGTAGATTAGTTTGGTGTGAGTTGTTGATCGTTTGGGATGTCGTCAGTAGAGATGTCTTCCTTTTCTAAAATGAATGGAACAAGCTGGCACTCAACTTGTGAAGCTAAAAAAATGAATTTGAAAATATCAAAAGCAACGTGTCTTTCCAGAAATCATGAACTGCTACATATGGTAATCAACAGACCTTGTTGTGAGCAGTTGCATGTAGGAACTCTTTCCTTTCTAGCAAACTACACCCGCCAAGCGCAACAAGAATGTGTTCCTCTAATCATGGAGCAACGGCTCTTGCTTACTTGTTGGTGGGTGTAGTTTGGTAGAAAGAAATCAGAACAAAATGTGATGAATAGCTTGGGTAAACTCTAACACCTACATTTGTATGTTTGATAATTGGCTGAAATATTCCTTTTAAATATGAGTTGAACCTCACAACAAAGATGTGTCCTGAAAAGAATTCCGGACAATAAAGTACATTT